CGGCGGCGGGCGCTCGCCCTCAGGCGGGCCCCGGGGCGGCGGCATGTCGGCGGAGCGCCTCTGGAGGTAACGCCGGGGGGGACGGGAAGGCTCTTCCCCGCGGTGCCCCCGGGCCCGGTGGGGCGAAGTCTCCCGACTTGGCGGGCGGTGAGCGGTCGCCTCCCTCCGGTCCGCCCCGCGCTGTCCCCCCGCTGTCCCCTCGCAAAGTTGTCCGCCGCCGGCAAGGCGGTGTCCGGCCGCTCCGGGGGCTCCTGCGCCGGCCGGGGTGGGTGCCCGGCGCCGGGGCGGGGGGCGGCAGCGCTACCGAGACTTCGTCCCCCGGCACACGGGACCCTCCCGCCGCGCCCGGGAGCGTTTTCCTGTTTGTTTGGGGGTGTTTCTCTGGGTTTTGTTTTGTTTGCCGCCTTTACTAGCTCACTTAGCATCTGCCTGCCTGGTGTGGTACCCACACCGACCCTTCCGCTGCTTGGAATTTTATTCCCTTTCTCCTCTCCTCCCGGGCTCCTTCCGTGCGACGCTGTTGCCCTCTAGTGTCTGCGGGTATTGGTTGGTGCCCGTGTTGGGGAGCAAAATTAGCCATCGTAGTGCAGTAATTATTAATAACTTCAGGTGTTCATAGCTCCTGGGATTCCCAAAGTCCCGTGCAGAAATCGGTGTGTATTACTGCTCGTTTCTACTGTCACGTGCAGCCTTTGGGAAATGGCAGAAAACTTCTGTATTATTTAATTCACTACTTAATGGGCTAGATAATTGCATCAGGTTTTGGTGTGGTGGTTTTGTTTTTTTTTTTCTTCTTCTTTTTAATGAAATGGAAAGTGGAGAAATGGGCTTTCTCTCACTGTCAGCATCACCACTCGGGTCTCTCAGAAGAAATGATGATGAACTCTGCCTTATTAACTCCTTACACTCGCTTGTGCTTGGCAGTTGGGGGAGAAAGGAGAGGGAGAAGTAATAGTATGGGCATTGACAAGAGAATGTGCCGTACATTTATCTTAAAGACTTCGGCAAATCATGTAGTCTTTAGACAGTGGTGTTTCCACAAGTGCTGAGAAATAATAGGGTTTGTCTCAGAAAAACTGTATGATATGATGTGTTTTAAGATCTTTTGGTAGAAAGCATTGTATGAAGGTAAAGTGGTAACTTGAACACTAAATCTAACTTATGTGCTCTGTTAAAGTCTTCCAGGCCTTCTTTTAAAGTATTTTAAGATACTGTATATTTAATCTTTATAAATATCTTTTAATGAGAAATTTTGATGCATGAATTCCGGTCCTGTAAGATTCTCTAGTAATGCATGAAGCAATACAGCATGGAGCTAAGGATAACATAGGCACAATAGCAACTGAAAACTGTTTGCCCCAAGGACTTGAAAAAGCCTATTTAGCTACTAGAATTTTTGTTCTGTCTAAGCCATTGCTTCTTTTTTTTTTTTTGTTAAACATATATAAGAGAATGTAAGCCCTTCAATAGTCACGCATTACAGGGTTTGTTATGTGATACTAAAGGGTCTCGATGACTTCCCTTGGCAGTTCATGTCTCATATCACCATCTTTTCAAGTTGAAAATGTCTTTTTAATATGCAGTTGTAAGATCTCATTCTCAGCCTGGATTTCCTTGTCTGTGTTGTCGCTGCTTGAATGCTTCAGTCAGGAGAATAGTGTTGTAAGAAGGGGGTACTCAGTATTTGGAGTTTCATGTTTTCATAATTGATTTAAACAGCAGAGCGCTACTATCTATTCCAGGTTTGGTTTTTTTCAAATGCACTTTGCTGCTTCCTACCATGTCATTCATATATCCAGAGATTTCCCTTTTAGTCACACTAATGTAATGACTTCAGAATACTTCCTTTAAGGTCATATTTCATAGTGGCTGGCCAGAGCAGGCTTTTATGTTCAAAGCAATTAAATAGCATTCTCAACAGTGGAGATTTAAATGCCCATACTAATATGCTGAACAGTATGTCTATTTTTTGTCCATGCTTCACTTAAAACTCATCCTTCATTTAATGTATCAGAAGTATGTTGCTGGCACTGTGGTAGTGGCCAGTTTGGTAAAGAACAGAACCAGAATGTAACGATGGGGATTATTAGAATAGGAGAAAGAGGTTTAAAAATATGTCCAGGTATATGTAACCAGACAAATGTTATATAGCTGAATAATATTGATGAGTAATCAGTCCTGAGCTAGCTCCCTTTTTTGGCAGTGATGAAAAGGATTTTTCTTACCCTTTAACAGTATTTTATATCTGTGTATACATAAGTATGACACAACTTCATTGTTTTTTATCAAGGGTCACAGTAAACAGTTGCCCTTGCACAGGCCTGAGGTAAGACTAAATCAGATTCTTTTTATTGGGCTTTGAAAAATGTGATTTGAGAGCAGTTTCTCATTTGCTTGTGGAAATTTTAGCTCAGCCCATTATTTTAATCTTTGTAGTTTTTAGCATGAGTGAATTCAATAAAAATGTTTCTCATAGTTTTAAGAATTTTATTGATATTCATGATACAACTTTATTAGCTTAGATTTTTTTTTAATTGTATGCAGTTTTATGTGTCTATGTGGCTGCCTGGTTTCCTATTTGAGCATCTGTTCGTTGCTGTCTGATGATCTGAACCTGAATTTGATAGCATTTGAGGGATTTTTTATTGGGTTTTTTTTTTTTTTTTTAGTTCTAGAAAATATAAATAGCAATTATGAAATTGAATGGTCAGAACCACATTTCTTTTCAACTACCGAATCCAGAAAATAGTATATTTCTGCTGCATGGAAAAGCCAGCCGTATAAAGCCCATGGACCGGAGCTGTGTACACCATGAAAGTCTTTGTGCCCTCATTGGCATCTTTTTTGCACTATGTTTGTGGGGTTTCCATGACATTCACAGAGCAAAGACTGCCAGTGGCTGCCCGTGAGTCTGAGCCCAGGGACTGGGTTCCAGGCTGACTGCAGAGACTTCTGGGGAAGCTGCTTTGGTATTTATTACATATATTTTGCTGCCAGAAAACACAAAAATCAAGACTTAATGATTTCATGTTCTTTATGTTCACTTACTGCATGTCATTAGTAGGCTAAGTCCCCAGCCAGTATTGTCTCATGTAAGTATTGCCATTAGGGTTATTGTGCTGAAATGATTTATAGAAGCCAAGAATTTGGTCATTTATGCTTAGCAACAAACTAAAGAAAACTGCAAATGGGAGGAACTCACAAGACTCATTATGGTGCAATTCAGCTCTTTTGAGTTCATCATGGTTTTTGTTCTCTCCTCAGTACTACCTTGTTAGTGAATTTAAATAAAAAAACCAAACAAACATAACCAAAAAACACATAACACCCCCCCATCCACCCAAAACAAATAGAACCCAAACAAACATACACTTGAACATGTTTCTTCTTATGTATCTGTTTCCGGATAGCTGTCTGAAGATACCTGTAATTGCAATTACCCAGCAGCATTGCTTAGAATTGTAAATCTTCCAAATAATAAATTGATATTTATTTCCTGTACCCACAAGATTTTCACATGAACTAGTCCTGGGCTGCAGAAATCACTTCTACAGTAGATGAGAGTGATATTGAACCTTGCTGTATTCAGAAGAAAATACAAAACTTATTTCCATGACTCAAATTTCTTATAGTAAGATCTTCATAGTGAGTTAAAAACAAAATTCCAAGTATTCAAAGATGCTAATTTTCACATTAAGGGGGCATTTTGATACCTCATAATTGGAACAACACAGGTAAAAAGTCTGAATTATCAGATGATGGCTTAAAAATGCAAAATTCTGTAGATCAGATACAGATTCTTCTAAAATAATAAGGTTCTAGGGAAAGAACAATGAGGCAGCTTTTATTGCTTCAGACGATGGAAAGTATCACACAAATTAGTTTATAGGTAAAATTTAATTCAACATCACCTCTGTTGAACATTTGATTCGTATAATGTCTGACGTCTGCTTTGAAGTGCTCTGAGATATAGGTGGGACCATATCCTCCTTTCATTGAACTCCACATGACTCCATTGAAATTAATGAGCAAAGACTGCTGTGTTATCTATGGGTCTTTTTCATGTTTTTTTCACTGAAACAATGATAACAAGCTTGACCTCCTGTGAAGAGTTTCTAGATTCTTTGATTAAATTTTCTTTTCTTCAAGGCTTTTTCTTATACCTGGATTATATTTTTTTTTCTGTATTGCAGTTCAAGCTATCATGACTTCTTCATTCTCTTGTAAAATATTGTGTTCTTTTGTCATGAAAGTAGGACTCTGTAAGTGCTGTCCTGTTCTGAAATACTGCTTCTAACAGCTTTCCCACTGTTGGTATGTTCTGAATTACACCCTTTGTCTGGATTTACTGTTGGAAGCAATAGTGGACAAGGACCATTTTGCTTGAAGCCATGTCTAAAATTGTGATAAAGGTCACTACAGCAGTCTTGGCAGGGCCCACAATGTGTGGTGGGTGATACACTCCGAAGATCTCTATGCTACTGTCGAGTTTGGTGCATGAGTTATTTTAGCCCCGGTGCTGTAAGATACCAGTGGAATATCTAGCCAGTGCTGTTGCTTACAGTAAAATGCCGCTGTTCCGCTAGGAAAACAGCTGTACCTTCTCAAGGCTTTGAAACTATGTTGATATTAAATGTGTGTTCTCTTTGTGGTTTTTTTTTTATTATTATTATTTTCTATGTTGTTTTGAACTCTCGCCATGCAAAACAGTCCTCAAATAAGTGAAAAATTACATAAGCACCAAGCGGATTCAAGAGAGCATGCTCTTAAAACTTGCACCTTATTCTGTTCCATTCCCCTTCTTCCCTGTCTTCAGTGATGAGGATGCCAAGTCTGGCTGTGTCCTGCTGTGTCTCGGAGAATTCCTCGTTCCTCAGAGTAAAACCTCACATCTGTCTTGGCATTTCCATCCACTCCTCCTTACAGCTGCATTCTGTAGCCCCAGGAGGTACTTGCAATTAGCAGCTTAATGATAAAATGACAGTTTTTATTGAAGAAAATACAGGTTTCTGAGCTGGCTCCAGACTTTTTGCTCCATGGAATGGCATTAGGAACTACGTCCTTGCTGTAAATGTTTCAAGTGCTCCTGCTGCTTACTTTAGCAGCCTTTGTGTTGCAACCCTTCTGTGATACCTCATTCAAACAACTCTGTCTAATCAGCACTTTCTTGCCATGAGCCTAGATCACTGTAAATTTTTGGTGCTCCAGGCAGGATTCTCAGGTTCAGGTGACTGTCTGGTCAGGAACATAGGCTAGTAGAGAAAGAAACTCCTAAATCATACTGCTGGGAACTGCCTCTCAATAGGACTTTGGTGGTTTCCATCATAAGAATAGAGGTATTTTATGTCTGTGTTAGAGGAGCTTAGGGCTAAAATGAGAAGACAAGCATTGTGCTTGTTGGTTGTGTGGTGCTTGACTTCGTGTCGTTCAAAGAGGTGATTTATGGTACTTCTGTCAGCAAGAGTTCCACTTTACAGGCTCGCGTCTATCTTCTGTGTGCACCAGATCTGAGCTCTATGTGGGGTAAGCCAGCCAGACTGTGGTTATGAAGATAAGTAGGCATATTTACAGCAGTATTAATTTTGGCCACTAAAGTTAGGAGTTTCTTGGCATTCAAGCAACTGAATTGGAAATGCAAAGTGAAGAGAATTCTTTGTGTGCATAATGAAAATTGTCTGTCTGGAAAAATCTCTGGTTTTACTCATTCAGGATGGAGCTCCTTCTTTGTCACCTGACTTCTTACCATATTAAATATCTCTTTTCTGCTATCTAAACTGTTATTGTTGAAGGTAGTGTAACAAGGATTGGACATCTTAACACTTAAAAATGTTCTCTGAGTTCTTCTAAAAGTACTTTCAAATTATCATTCAGTCTTTATGCATTCTTTAACTTATTTTCAGAGACGTGCCTCTAGAAACTGAGAAGCTGGGGTTATACTATTTTTGTCTAACACTGATTAATAAGTCTGTATGCCTGGGTGAAAAGCAAGCCTTCTGACTAAAAGCTATGTACAAGTCTTTGTACAGCTGCAGGTAAGGTTCAAGGCTGGGTGGAGGTCCACCCTGAACAGAAAGGCATATACTGGCATCTGTGAGTAGAAGATGAAGAGAGTAGAATATATCTGGAAAGCAGGCTTCTCTGGTGAGATGCATGTTTAAAGGGAATCTTAATTATGAATGAGACAGCTTACGTACGCTTACTCTTGGTGCTTAATTTTTCTGTTTTGATAAATAGGATGCTGTGTAGTTTCTCTCTTTCCTCTTATCTCGTTTTTCTGCTCATTTATTTTTACTTTGTGCTCATCATGGCACTGGGAGGATCAGTCTTTTGGATTTTATTAAAGTTGTGGAACTTACACAGGTGCTGTTACGTACATAATATTTTTTTACCTTTTTCAAAACCTGAAAGTGACAGGCCACCTTGTTTACAATGTAGGATGTAAGGTACAATGTAGGATGTCTTATCAAGTGGTTAAGTGGTCCAAGTACACGACATGTTGTTTGCTTTTGTCAGTTGGTTGGTTGTCATTGTTTGGGGTTTTTTTGACAATTCCCTGCCCCCCCCCCCGCCCCCTTTATTAATACGTAACTCATCTTTTATATACTTCAATTTCTTTTGAATCAGAAGCTGACTATATTTCTTCTATTATCACCTGCTCTCTGATTCAGTACTGAAGGTTGTCAACTATTCTAGGAATTAGAATTTCTAACAAAAACCCAGTAAACCTTATAAAGTACAAAACATAGGATAGAGCTTGAGTAGATATCATTCGTTAGAATCACAGAATGGTTAGACTTGGAAAGGACCATAAAGACCATCTACTTCCAGCCCCCCTGCCATGAGCAGAGATACCTTCCACTAGACCACGTTGCTCAAAGCCCTGTCCAGCCTGGCCTTGAACACCTCCAGAGATGAGCCCTCCACAACTTCTCTGGGCAACCTGTTCCAGTGCCTCATCGCCCTGGCAATAAAGAGTTTCTTCCTAATATCTAATCTAAATTCCCCCTCTTTGAGTTTGAAGCTATTATGCCTGGTTCTATCTCTGCACTCCCTGATAAAGAGTCCCTCCCCATCTCTCCTGCAGGCCCCCTTTGGGTACTGGAAGGGGCTATAAGGTCTCCCTGGAGCCTTTTCATTCTCCAGACTGAACAACCCCAACTCTCTCAGCCTTTCTTCATAGGAGAGGTGCTCCAGCCCTCTGATCATCCTTGTGGCCCTCCTCTGGACCCACTCCAACAGGTCCACATCCTTCTTATGTTGGGGGCACCAGAGCTGGACACAGTACTCCAGGTGGGGTCTCATGAGAGTGGAATAGAAGGGCAGAACCACCTCCCTCCCCCTGCTGTCCACACTCTCTTGATGCAGCCCAGAATGCAGTTGGCTCTCTGGGCTGCCAGCACATGATGCCGGCTCATGTTGAGCTTCTCATCCACCAACACCCCCAAATCCTTCTCCTCAGGGCTGCTCTCAATCCATTCATCCCTCAGCCTCTATTTGTTATCATGATATGTCAAGAAAAATGTAATTCTCTCTGTCAATCTGTACAGAAAAGTTCATATTTTATATTGATTATACTTCTGGACCTTCTTGGTATTCACATTTTAATCCCTACTTTACTTTTTCTTTATAAATGAGTGTGGATCCTAGCTCCATTTACAAACAAGGATGGATGTGTGCTACATTATGAAGTTATAGGAGCATGTTCTAGATCTTCATAATCTTAATAATTTTCAAAATCTGCTGTTCAGTACTGTAAGTTATAAAGGAAGGTTAATTATTTTATGCTCGTCACATCGTTCAGTTGTTTTACTTCTGACAACACTTGTAGTGTAGGCTTGAAAAATGACTGCTTTCCTTAGGTACAAGTTAAAGCATAAGTATATCCTTAGGTTATCTGCCTCTTAACATTAGCTTTTGATTTATTGTTCTCTTTTCTCAAATTTAAGAGCTGGAATATTTTATGCTTTTTTTAAATACAAAGAAATACAAAGTGCTTCCAACAATTTACAAAACAGTACGCAGTCGAGTAAGATACTATTTGTTTACTTCGAATGGTGCAGGAAAAAGTGTAATTTTGTTTTTGAAATACTCCTATAATACATGTATTATAGGGTTTATCAGTATGTATACAACAGTTAAAATGAGCATGTTTTGTTAAGAATGTCTTGGTTCTTCAAAAATTAATGTAATACAGAATTCATTTAATCATGTAGACTGATGTTCCTCCAGCTTCTTGGGGGTGGAAGGAGAAAGGTTATAAATTTTCTTCAATGTGTAGGTTGTCAGCAGTTGTCCATTTGGAGTTAACTTTTATCTTTGGGTAAAAAAAAATTCAGAAAAATAGTAAGTTCTTTGGCACCGTATCTTGATTTTTCAGTGCTTTCCTGTGTGTACCGTCTTTTCCTTGATCCTCTGGAGCAAGGAACCTGAGATACATTCAAATGCACACGGCAACTAGTGGGAGCAGGAAGAAATAGTGCTGCTAATAGAAAATTTCAAAAAGAAACCACCAAAGTTTTTAGCTGTTTGTTTCCAAACCTCTGATTGGCAGTGATTTCTTTGCTTGTTATTTTACGTTAGTTAGTTAAAGTGTGATGATACTTCACAATTAAAGTGTGATTAAACTTCACAATTGCCTCAATTAAATCTCTGATTTTCTTTTTTTCTAGACTATACCTTCTGTAAAGCTTTGTGGAAGATAGATGTGTGTGCTGCAATGGTGACATAAATATTTCAGAGGACTGGAACAAGTTGTTGAGAATCTGTGTTTGTTTTTAATGCTGCTGTCAAGAACAATCTAAGGCAAGTAAACAACATGAGTTTTATCATGAAACTTCACAGACATTTTCAAAGAACAGTTATTTTGCTGGCCACTTTTTGTATGGTGAGCATAGTTATTTCTGCATACTACTTGTACAATGGCTACAAACAGGAAAATGAACTTTCTGAAATCTCTTCAGAAGTGGAATGTGGTGATCTTCAACTGTTGCCGTACAAGCTGATGGAGATGAAGACCATGAAGCCTATTGATCCCCTGAGGACAGATCTTGTAGTGCTGGTGTTTGTGGAAAGTCAGTACTCAACATTAGGCCAAGATATTATAACCATTTTAGAATCTAGCAGATTTCAGTTTCACATCGAGATTGCACCTGGAAAAGGTGACCTCCCAGTGCTTATAGACAAAAATAAAGGCAAATATGCTCTCATAGTATATGAAAATATTCTAAAGTATGTGAATATGGACTCTTGGAACAGAGGCCTTCTAGATAAGTACTGTATAGAATATGGTGTAGGTGTTATTGGATTTCACAAAGGCAATGAGAACAGCTTGCAGAGCTTTCAGTTGAAGGGCTTTCCTTTCCATGTCCACAGCAATCTGGGTATTAAGGACTGTTGCATTAACCCTCATTCCCCACTGCTCCATGTGACTAAATCCTCTAAGCTTGAGAAAGGTCCCTTGCTTGGAAATGACTGGGCGGTTTTCCAGATTAATCATACATCTTATCAACCAGTGATTTTTGCAAAAGTGAAGACGCCAGAAAACCTTTCACCACCTGCTGCTAAAAATGCTCTCCATGCCACAGTAATTCATGACCTGGGGCTCCACGATGGAATTCAACGAGTCCTTTTCGGCAATAACTTGAATTTTTGGCTGCACAAGCTGATTTTCATAGATGCTATCTCTTTCCTGTCTGGAAAGAAGCTCAGACTGTCCTTGGATAGGTACATTCTGGTTGACATAGATGACATCTTTGTTGGGAAGGAGGGAACAAGAATGAACACCAACGATGTACAGGTAATGTATGCGTACAAACTAATGGTCATTATGGCAAAGTGCCATTTTTTTAATCTTAAAGTGAACAGTTATTAATAGTTGGAACTCGTGGAGGATGCAAATCAGTAGGTAGCAATGCAAATTATTTGGGCCTTCAGAGAGTAGTCAATCTGCCTGGCTCTGAGTAGTCACTGATTCCAGGTTGCTTCAACCTCCAGGCTGGAGGAGAGCCCATGTGGTGTCACTTGTACCTGTACTAGAAAACAGTGCAAAACAAGATGACTCACTGGTTACTATCACTTGTTTTCTCTCAAGGGACACACCGGTCCCTGCTGAGCTAAGTTCTGTAAATGGGTTGGTGGACACCTCTGAATTCTGTTCCCCTTACTATATATGGAACATAGTCTCGCGAACGGAAATTAAAGACAGCTAGTTGCTAAGTAACTGATAAAGAAAAGGGGGTAGGAATGGTAATGTTTTCACACACACCCCACCCCACCAACACGCACAATTCTACGCATAATTGCATGCTGTTTAACTCTCTAGTCTGATGATAGCTTCTATCTAAGCACATGCTTCGGTGGCATTTGAAAACAGCATAGGACTTCAGAGCTGGACCCTATTCATGTGTAATATGCATGTTTCTCATCTTACAAGCGGGAGGTAAATATGGTGAGCAAAAGCAAATGAAAACATAAATTGTGAAGGATAGACTGGATTATTACTTGTTTGAAATAGGTTTCCCACGTCAGAGGTTTGTTGCAACATTTCACCTTTCTTATCTCTGTTTTATGGCTCTTGCTTGCAAGCAAGGTTATGTTAATATTGGTATTAAAAGCTTGTTCTGTCACTAAATGACTTGAAAATTTCCATTTTAACATTTTAAGTTGTACACTGCTGAAGGTCAGTTTTCACTCTATTGTGCTGTTCAAGTGAGGTGGTAGTTACGGGTCAGTAGGAGCAACATTTTAACATGATTTCTTGCTGTGTACCTCACTTTCTTTCTGTGAAGAGTGTTGTTACAAAGCGGGTAGTTAGACATCACCTTGCAAAACTGGTACTTGGTCTAGAAGCTGAAAGTCTGTAAGATGCTGATTCTTGCCTGGTTTGTGCTAAAAATAAGGGAGAATGTTTTGCTCAAACTCTCATAATGGAAAGAGGAACTAGGAGAAGGAAAGGCAACGACAGCACTGCATGCAGTTGATGGTCACTTTTGTTTCATTTTAGACTAGATTTTTGTTCTCTCAGTGTTAGTATATTTGTTAAGCTACAGTAACCCTGCATACATTGCATCCTTAAACAAAAGGGTTGAACCTGTACTTGCGCTTCAATTTACTTTAAAATTGCAGCATATGCTCTTATCTAAAACCTTCCCTGCACATGCAATGATAAATAAGTTATACCTCCTAAATAACTGGATGTTTTCCTTATGCAAATAAATTGTACTTGAAAGAGCTAGAATAAAGATGAAACTCAATAAATGGAGTTCCTGTGTAGAACATGATGGCAGTATTTGAGTTAGGTGGGTGAGCGTGATTCGACAATCTCCTAAGTGCAAACTCAAATAGCAGGAAAGAAATAAGGTCTGACCCACATCACAGGCAAAACTGCTCTTGTTCTGCAAAAGCAGCAGTTTCTGGTAACAAAATATGCAAAATAAAGCCTGAATATATCTCTCATTGTGTTGTGCAGTAGCAGTTTGAAACAGTATGTTTTCTATTGTTTCTCTTTGTGAGTGACACCTTAGGATTGTCATTTTAGGATAAATGAGGGTGATTAATTGCCAGAAGTACTTACCAGAAACAGAAGGCTATTTAGACAAATTTGGTTAAAGCAGATAGAAAAGGATAAGCTGTATTGTTTTGGGAGAATAATTTGCAGTATGTCAGAATGTTATCTTCCCAAAATAAAACTGTCAAATTAAGTGGAAATAATATCAATTTGGAAATAACTCTTAAGTAGGATAATTTCATTTATACAGAACTGTGTTCTGAAGCAGTGGAATCTGAAAAAATGTTCCCTTCTGATTTTTCGTCTACTTAAAGTTAAAATGTTCTATTAAACATGTTGTTAGGGCTGTCAGATGCAATGCATCTTCATTACTATTAATATCAAAGGAGTTATCCTCTGTGGCACAATGACATGTGGAAGGAATGAAATAAAATCAATTTGTGGTAGTTGAAGATCCGTTATTGGAAAGTATATTTGTGGATAAATGACATCCTATTAAACAGAAGTGTTTTACTGGGTTCTGCTGCATTGACTGAGACAGAGAATTGTGCTCTGCAAGTGTGAAAATAGGTTGCTAAATGTAGACTTTGTATAATTTCAGTACTCAAGATTAACTCATATCTACTAAACTCACAGTTTAAATACTAGCAATATAGAATTGGACATAATGGGGTTTTGTGTTTTAATATTGTTTGACGTGTCTCCTATTTAATATTTTTCTGGATATACTCACATCTGGTAGGACTGTGAGCTTGCTGAGAGTAAGGTGAATGTTTCTGCATGTGCTCTGATAATGCAAGGTAACCTAAAACACTTCATAAAGCTCCCAACATCCAGAGAACCTCTAGGATTGGCTCTGCCCATTCCTCTCGACAGGACGGAGTTCAGAAACTGGAGGGTTAATGCAGAACTGATAGCAAAAATAATTGCTCGTTAATGATTCATTACTGAACTCAAGGCAGCGGCATTTGTCTTGGGTCTTCTGAGAAAAAGGCTTTTCTCTGTTGAGTGTGTAGAGAACCTAGATTTGTTTTAGAACTGATTCATTAAGCCCCTAAAGTTCAGGCACAAGTTAGGTGAGCAAGTTGAAAGCTATGTCTGTACTGTTATTTCTTTGTAAGAGTTAAAATAGATAACAAAAGATATCCTATAGGATTGCAGAGGAGGTTGGAAGGCACCTCTGGAGGTCATCTGGTCCAGCCCGCAACGTCCAGGTACCTTTTGACTGCCTGCAAGGAGGAGGATCCTGATTGCATGTAAGATCAGGTTTTCAAGGGAATTTCTTCTTCAGATACCTAAAGAAGACTTGCTAAGTCTCCAGAATAGTTAATATTTGGACATTAGGCTAAACTGGCCTCCTCTTTTAAGTTTGTGGATTGGAGTTGCGGACTTAGAAAATGGCTCTCATAAGGCTGAGTGGTAATTTTTTATCATTGTTATATATTGACCTCAGAAGAGGTCAAGTCAAAAGCAAGCCCTCTAAATGGAGTGTCTTTTACACCTCTAAAGATGAGGCAAAGTCGTGGTACTTCAGCTTGAGTATCTATAGTGTCAGGGATGCAGGTGTAAAGAGCCTTTCTGAAAAACTTTTTACATAGTTTATCAACCTAATTCCTGTAAAACTAATAAATAGTCTGTTTTGTTAAACAACGGGTGAATTTCATTCTAGTTTCAGAGAAGACCCAAACAACTTGAAACTGTACTTAAGATTTTTAGACTTCCTGATTGCTGTAGATTTGCCTGTCACTGTGTAAAATCTGGACTGATAGAACATAGTTCTTTAACGCAACATACTGAGTAGCTGTCACTGTGAATCAACAGTGACCATCCATCTCCACATTTATTTGCTTTATCTACCTCTGCTGTAATAGAAATAATGGAAGAGAACAATTTCATAGTCTAATTGCACTTTGAAAATAAGCTTGGTAATGTCATCTCAATGTTCATTTTACAGTAACTTTTTTTTCTCCTAATGTCTGTCAGGCAGGAGGGACCATTATGCTGTGACAATGTTAAATTTTATTTTCCTTCTATTGTTTCGAAGACTAAGAACCTTCACAGTGCAAATAATTCATTTAAATGGACATACAGGGAAAATATATCTAGATATCCACAGAGTAAGTTTATCTTAATAGACCATGGTTGTTCTGGCTGATGGTCTACTAATTTAATATCTTTTTTTGTTACAGTTACTCTTTGTGAAATTTTTATGACTATAAAGCGTTGGGATTTCTCAAAGGGAAAAGTGGGTGATAATAGGGGGAAAACTCAGTATGATTATTTTTTTTCCTATGGACAGTTTGTGCAGTGCTGATGGTCCATGGAGTGAGTGGGTCTACCTTTTCCTTCATTTCCCCAATACGTGCACTTTCTGTATTTCCTTGAGAGTTGATCACATTTTCAAAATAAAAAATTGGAACACTGTGAAATTATTTTTTTCCAAATAATTAGCTGTGTGATCTTCTCTCAACTCTCTTGCCCTTCATGTGCTTTTCGTTTTGAATTGAAGTCAAGGTGGGGATCTCTTCACTTTCTTCATGTAAGGCTGTTCTTTTTCTACACTTGTAATTATTCTTTTATAATTACCAAGGAAAAAGCTTTGTATTAACCATATCCATTATTGGGAGAGCGATGAGATATCTTTTTTTTTTTTCTTGTTCTATTTTGTGAGTGCTTCTGTTAGTATATGTGCGTTGAAATGGGCAATACAAGCTTGCTTCTGCCATCTTTTGGCGTTAGAGTCATTGAAGCGTTGGAAAATAAGAGCTATCCTCTTTGTGTATCATGTGTGCCAAACAGCATTTTGTTAATGGAGAGGATCTAGCCAGAAAGAACAAATTCTTAGTATTTTAGTCTCCCATCACTTGCACAGTCTGTCATCTTGCGCAGATTTTAAAGTTTATAATGTAGACACTGGAGCTAGTCCTCTAACTTTCCATAATAGACAATGTAGAAAAATTGCACATCTCTAGGCAGGAACTGGTTAAGTGAATTGCACCTTAAAAGTATGTATCTGTTTCTGTTGTTCATAAAATGTTTCTACAGTGACTAAGATAAAATCTAAACATTTGCATTTGATCAGATCAGTCGTCTTCCATGTTGTAAAGCCAGTGTTGTCACTTTTTTTTTATTTCCTTAGTGCATTAGTGGCCTAGTCTTTCATGAAATATAATACAATTTTGTTTAATAACAGATTCCACCCCCCCACCAAGAACTAGTTGTTTATTCACTATATTACAAACTCATCCACATTAGTCAGCACGGCTTAAATTACTACAGTTGTTTAAAAC